TCAGCTTGGCAGGACCTTCAGAGCCTGTGTGTTCTGGTGTGTCTGCAGGAAACGCCTCCAGGAGATCCCCTGCTGCAGCAGCAATGTTTTTACCAACTCTACCAGGCCCTCGAACTCCAACGAGAGCTCCGAGCTTCCCTCTGGCACGGGAGCATCTGTCCATTGGATGGACGAGCTTGAGGTTGAAAACGTGCTGCAGGACCTGCTGAAGTCACCACCCTATCCTCCTCTGAAGCGACAGAAGGAAGAGAAGTTTGTCTTTGATCGCCGCTCTCGGCACCTCCTAGAGTCAGAGTCAGGTACCGTCACCCAGGTCCAGGTTTTGCTCACCCTTCAGTAGAGATGGAAAGTGGGTATCACAAGTCATCAGTACTTTATTCTTTGCTTTTTTTTTTTGCTCTATCCCAGCAGAATGTAACTTCTAGATTATCTTTAAGGTCCCTTCCAACCCAAAGCATTCTGTAAGTCTGTTCTGTGCTGCTGTCCGCAGTATAATTTCAAAACTCAAGGAGGCTTGATTTGTTTAATTGTGGTAGTGCTTTTTTTAAACTTAAGCATCTAAGAAGTAACTTGGCCCTTTAGACAAAAGATCCACATCTCTGTGTAGGCTGAGGTGTGCCAGAGGGGCAGCATACTGCTCCTGCTGGAGCTAAGCTGTGAGCAATGCAAGGCACCCCGCCAGAGATCTACAAAGAGTGTGAGGCTCCTGGGCTGGAAAGGGACTGGCAGGAAAAGAGCAGGACTGTGACCCGAAGGTCTGGGACCCTTGAAGACAGCACTACTTTTAAGTAAGAGGGAGTGCTGGGTCATAGGCAGCTGTTCTTGAGCTCCACCACCAAGAAATCTTCCATGTGAGTGGCAACACCTTCTAGAACCCTGTGTCTTAGATTGTTCCACATCCTTTCAGATGATTCTCGAGGGAGTGGTAGTTAGTGTGCATGATTTAAGGAGCAGTTTGCAGTACCTGCTTTTATCTGTGCAATGCAAAAGCACAGCTCACATTGGGCTCCCTTCTGGGAGCCTGACATGCATAGGAAGGGTGGGTATTTCAGCAGGGTGGGGGTAGGAGAGGACTGTGCAAGCCTTAGCATACAAAGGAAGTAACTGAGATGCTTTGTTTCCAAAAGAAGTATGTGAATAAATATTATTGTCATTTTTCTCAGGGGAAATTGTTTTTCCATAGCTTTAGAATATGTTCTAAGTTGATGTTATGGAAAGCTTTGCATTTGCCAGTCATACCTAGGCAAAGATGGTAATAGTATCTTCCTACAATGAAAAGCTGAAAGGCGGTTGAGTAGTGGGCTGATGTATGTATTGCCTAAAGAGAGATGTGGAGGTGTGCTTAATGACCAAGCCAAACAAGACATCAGTGTTAACTAGAACACATCTACACTTTCCCTAAAGGTGTTTCTTGGGATGCACTTCCAGATGAATTGCTTTTGACAGTCTTTGCATATTTGCCCCTAAAAGAATTACTAAAAGCTTCCCAGATTTGCAAGAGGTGGCATCGTCTTTCGTAAGTATTACTTCTCATCATTAGTACTAAGAAAACCTTTGCTTCCATAGACTGCTAAATAATCTGGTTCTCATTTTGTTAATTCATATAAAATTCAAATTATGCTGTGTGTGGGTTATGTGTATGTATACTTAAAAGATGGCTTACAGAATTTAACATAGTGAATTCTGTTAAATAGCTTTCCCTTGACTCTGTCTCCTGTGATACTGAAAACTTTCTGTGATTGTACTCGTAGTTCTGACTTTTCATAACTCACTAAGAAGTAAAATTCTGTGCCTTAGGTTTGATGAATCTCTGTGGCTGACTCTCGACCTGGCTGTTAAAAATCTGCCTCCAGGAGTGCTTGGACAGTTGCTACCTGCAGGTGTTACCGCATTCCGCTGCCCAAGATCTTCTATTGGGAATCCATTGTTTAAAACAAGCACGTAAGGCTTTTTCTGCATGTTCTGGATCCTGGAACCATGTCTCAGTTATTCACACTTTCTCTGTATGTTTTTGGTTTTACAGTCGCCACCAGTAGTAGCATTTGTGCTGCCTCTGGAGTGTGGAAGAGCTGATCAATGGTTAGGCATGTGTTGAAATAAGAGGATCTTCATTCACCTCTCAGTTATTTAAAATCAAGTTCATGTGGTTTTTGGAAGTATAAAGCACCATCATTTAATTGCAGTTTATATCTTGTAAAACCAAGAATTATCAGCATCTCCAGCATTTTTATGTGGGAAGCTCAAAAAAATTATTTAACTCCAGCAGGATAGACTTTCAGCTGTTACCATGAATCCTGTAGTGCCTTGAAGATAAGAATTCTGTAGTTTTGGCTCATATATTGTGGAACAAGTTTTAATGCAGTTTTAGTAACCTGCCTTTCTCCTTTTTTAGACCTCTCAGAGTTCAACATATGGATTTGTCAAACTGCACAGTGTCTGTTGCAGATCTCCAGAGTATTCTTAGTCGGTGTGAAAGGCTGCAGAACCTCAGCTTGGAGGGACTAGTGCTTTCTGATGATATCATCAGGTGAGTGACATTTACTCAGGTGGGTAAATACCTTCTGTTCGGCACTATCATTTTGCACAGGCCAGCAAAAGAATGTGACTGAGAGCTGTTCATTGTGAGAATCTCTTGAAATGGCCAGTTTTAGGCACCCAACAGAGCTAGCTGGCAGGCTAGATGAGTTGCCTCTTTCCTCTCTGTCCCCCAAGGCATGAGGTGAGGAGGAAACACCCCTCTGGAAGAGTGTTTCTCGGTGACTTTGTCTTTTCATTTCCCAGCATAGCAGGAGCCTGGAGAAGCTGCTAATTTCTAGAATTTGACCATTTGCCCTTCCCACAACCAATCTGTACAGCTGAGCTACTTTTATTTTTCCATTTCTGTGCTCCCAACAGAACTTTGTATTTGGCACAGAGGTTGTTTTCCATTTTAAGGGGTCTCAACAGCTTTCCCATGAGATCCTCATTATGTTTCTGTACCATTTCACACTTCTTTGTTGAACTTCATCCTGAGTGTCTGCAAAATTACAGGTTGTGTCAAGCAGATGAACTGTGGTTTGGTTAAACTGTAAAGACACCAATGGGTGTGCCGTCAGCCTCCTGTTCAATCACATCAGGTGGTTGTGGAGGCGCCAGGGAGCATAGCTCAGATGGCAGAGACTGCGGGTGCCCTTCTTTCTAGTTTTAAGCTTTCTGGTGCCTTCTTCATGCCAGAGGAGGGGGGAAAAAAGAGTACGAATAAACCAGATAGTTTGGCTTTTGATGCCAGGTAAAAGTATCTGAAAATTGAATATTAATAAGGCACTGATGATGGCAGTTTATTGCATGATGTACAAATGTAGGTACTGGGTGTAAGGATTTTTCCAGGTTTTGCCAACTGCATGTCTGTCCTAGTCTTGCAAACAAATGCATTCAAGGGGATGTCACTTGGACATGTGTGTTGTTCTGGAATAACCTCCATCTTGCAGAGGAGTGACTTCAGAAATGGGATGATTGCTTTGCCACTTGTAGAAATAGTCATCTTGTATAAGCTACAGTGTGTGTTTAATGGCCACAACAGGAGGAGGTGGAAGTAAATTGTTTCCTCTTAAACTTAGTTTATATGCAGACTTGTCAGGAAGGTCAAGTAAATAGTCAAGTATCCCTTTTGAAATTGTGCTGTAATGCAGCAAGTACAGAGTTGAGATCCTTAGTGACTTGAGTTGGTCAGTTTACTAAAGATGTAGTGCTCCATGTTTTACACATAATTCTGTGCCCAGGATCTTAGTTCTTAAGACTAATCACACATGCTAGCATTGCAAGCAGTTTTCCAACACTTAAATTTTATCAGACTTTTCTTTTTCTTTACAGGAGCATTGCTAAGAATCCTAGTTTGATACGACTGAATCTCTGTGGATGCTCACGGTTTTCTGCAGAAGCCATGGAACTGATGTTGAGCAGCTGTTCCATGTAAGACAAAAATAGCTTTTCCTGTTCTTATTTACTGGTATTTTTGAGAAAAAAGATCCTTTTTATATTTTTCCATAGGCATCCCTATTGTATTTGTCACTAATGTCTTTTTTATGAGCTTGTTTGTGTTGCTAAATGCCTAACAGTTGATTATTAGCTGAATAGTCAGTTTACTTCCATCAAGCTATTTTCTTCTTTAATAGCAAAGATGTACTTCAGTAGTTTTTCATGAGTTTCCTTAATCATCCTTAAAGGAAGTCTTGTTGGTGGGTAAACCCCTGTGATTATCATGTAAATTTGATTTCCTTAATGAAAGTAGTATGTGATCCTCACAAAGTGAAAGTGTGTGTTTTGAAACTGAAAAGTGGAGTCCCAGAACTCCCTTTGCAATCAGAGTATAGCATGAATGGCAGAAAACATTATGCCTTTCCATCCATGATAGAATAAACCTTCAGTAAGCTTTTACTTTATGAAGCACTGGTCAGATTGACAGCTCTGGTGATTAAACCATCTGCTGGCAGGAAGTCACTAAACTGGGCCCCAGTCAATCTGGGATTTACATCCTGATCTTTCTGCTGACTTCCTGTGAGATGCCAGACAATCTATTTAATCCTTACTTCTGCAAAAGCATGTTTTTAATCAAACTGCAAGCTAGTGAACAGACAAAACCTTAATCTTTCTCTGCTTCTCATGGGTAGATAATGCTTTCTATTGCTTGATCTGATTACTTGGATCATGAGCTCTTTAGAGAATGGCAGTCTGTACAGTGTACAGTGAATAGCAGATGCTGAACCTGATCCTGGGAAGGCTAGTGGCAACTTAACTGTTTGGGTTTTTTCATTTACGTATAGATTTCCAGATAAATGCGCTAGCTGTGCTGTTCACTGTGTCTTTGTTCTCTGGTTACCTCTACAGCACCTGCATACAAAACAAAGCTGTAGGTAATAAGCATGTAAAGAGTTCATCTCTGTTCAGTAGTAACAGATTCAGGTCACAAACCAGAAGAAAGATGAAAATACAGTGTCTCCCCATGGCTGTCCCTACAGAGAACCATTTCACTTCCTGAGGTATTATTGGATCCATTTCAGTTGGAAGTGGCCTTGGGAAGTCACTTTAACCCCTTGCCCAGACCAGGGTCTAAATTCAGCACTGGCCTCCTAAGACAGCTTCCACAGCCTTGCTGGGCAACCTGCTCCAGTGCTTAATTATTGCCATAGTGTAATCTGTAGTCATGAATATGTGAACTTGGTAGCAAGTGAGTTACAAGTTTTTTTGCCTTAAAGGTATTAGCTGTTATAGGTAATGTCAGAACTCAAGCTGTATTTCAGTCATTCTTCCAAACAACTCTTTCTTTGTTCCTGTGTAGGTTGGAGGAGCTGAATTTGTCCTGGTGTAGCTTCATAGCCACCCATGTCAAAGCAGCAGTCACTCATATTACCTCAAACATAAAACAATTAAATTTAAGTGGATACAGACAGAATCTGCAAATATCAGGTAAATACCAGCGTGGCAAACCTTTATCCCACTATGGGATAAGGCAGCAGGCTTTATATTTTCTTCTGGTTGGCATCTGCAGTGTGTATAGAAAAACAGTGCACTAACATGGGTTTTGTGCTCTGTATAGCTTGATGTTCTTGCTGTCAGAGAATCTTACTCATGTATCTGGCTCAGCCATGAGGGGTGAGGCAATTTATCTTTTGAATTTAAAAGTAGTCAGGTGAAAGCTTGTTTCACCTTTAGTTGAAAGGTATAGCCCTTACTTCTGAAGTGAGTCCTGGAAGCAGGATACACTGCATCCCATGCTTCACTGTGAATTAGCCTTCCAGATACTGTTCTTGGAGCCTTCTTAAGGCTTGTACTGTAGTGGCTGCTGAAGGCATCGTCCAAAAGAAAACAGTTATAGCAACTACTTGAATTTCAGCCTGACATGATGTCCTACAGATACCAGTTAATTTGGAAGGCAAATATTCTCAGTAATCAACATTAACTGTTTACTTTCTAATAGAGTTCTAGGAGTCATAGTTGGCTAAAGTTGCAGGGTCATAGAAAATTCAGAGAAATCTAGAGCTGGGGAGAGGGCACAGCAAAACGGCCAAGAGCATAGATAAAGAGTGAAATGGCTTTGGTAGTAAAAAAAATTTTCTCAGTAAGCAAATGTGATGATACAGCATTGGCTGACAAGCAGGTAACATGGGCTATTGATCTGACTGTTAGCGAAAATGTGCAGAGCTTTTCTGTTAGCAAAACACTTTCTATGAGTAATATTACTGTGTTCCAATACAACTTATAAGGCATAATATTTGAGTAGTTCACTAACCATCATAATTTAGGTGGTGTTTTCTTTAGGTTTTGCATGTGAATTCTGAAATACCAGATTGACTAGCACCTTGCCTAATAATAGTGGACTTTTAGGTGGTATCTGAGCCACAGATGATTCATGAAAAGATGTTCTACAAAATTTATAGTTTAAATTGGGAAAACCATAACTTTGTCACGAGGAAAGAACTTTCCGTGTGTAAAAATGGAGATGCCTAAAGAACTTTATGCTCTGAAAAGATATTTGATTGTGTGGAAAAGTTTTGACATTTTCTGCTACAAGTAAGAATTTCAGGCATTTCTGAAATTTCACCATTACTGTATCTTGGTAGATTTCTACAGCTGTATCATTTGAATTATTGACTTGCTAAATTGCTGGTGCAATTGACTTTTAGGGACTAAATGAATCTGTTTTGCTGAGTATTAAAAAAAAGTCTCTGTAAGGTATCTTGGTAGGCAGACTATGTGCTGCAAATCTTGCATGTGTATCTCTTTAACAAAAGCTTGTCTCAATTCTGAGGTTCCAGTAGAGAAGATATAAATGAACATGTATGGAAGTTATTAGGCTGTATAAAGCACATTTTTCTTCTTAGTGGAAGATGGACTGACTGTGTGACCTCTTTTCAGATGTTAAAACACTGGTGGAAAGGTGTCCTCGTCTAATCCATTTAGATCTAAGGTAAGAAGACCTGGGCAAATAGTCCTTAAATCCTTATGGTTCAGGGGATTGTCAATTCCCTATTACAGTGCAGTAATTATATAGCAATAATGCATGATTGTGTAGGATTGCATGTTCTATGCTAAGCCTGTAAAAGAATTGCTATCTGGCATGACCTAATCTGGGGCATCTAAATTGAAGATTTCTTTGTTACATCAGCGTAAATGTTACATACAGGATTTGTTAACTAACAAGTGATTGTAGTTGATAGGTTCAGTGGAAAGAAGCATACAGTTTGAGCTTAGCATCCCAGAGAGGGTTTAGTTGAGCTCTGATAATTTGTTTGCCATAGATAATTTTTGGCCATAACTCTAAACAAAGTATTTTGGTTTCAACCTAGTCAATTAAAGTATTTTGAAATCACAATGTGTGAAGTAATTGCCTTTTCATGGGATGAGTTTGGCTGCAGAATACCTGCCTGCAGAGAAGCTTCTGTTCCACTTGCCCTTCAATGAAAATCAAAATCCCTCTGTACCCCCCTAACATACACACACATCAATAGAAATGGATTATTTCCCCATTGAGCAAAAAATTATTGAAGTGGTAGAAAAAGAAGTTGATAATCATTACATTTCTTAGCCTGAATTTTGGAAATGCCAAATGTGCTGCTGCTTTATACTTAAACCTCTATTTCATGTCCTCTCATGTACAGTGACAGTATGCTGTTGAAGCCTGAGTGCTTAAAGTATTTTTTTCGACTTGTCTCTTTACAACATCTGTGTCTTAGCCGATGTTATCAGATACCACCTGCTGCCTTAGTGTAAGTAATCTCTAAATGGTTTTGGTGTGCTATTCACACAGAGCATAAGTTACTTTAAACTTGCTTTATTTTAGGTTTAAAACTGGAAGTACTGTTTTAAAACACTTACTGGTATGAAGAATTAGGAATAAGGAACTGAGGTAAAATAACCTGACTGCTAGATCATTTACCTTTGAGAATCCAGACAGGAACCAAAGGTATTTGAGATAAACTTTCCATGATGTCGGTCTGTACTTGTGGAACTTGCTGGTCAGTGTATGCATCGTGCCTTCCCATAATGGCATTATACCATGGTGAGGTACAGCTGGAGGTTCCAGTCCTGCCAGTGGCCAGTATTGGTGTCCATATTAGGCTTTCATTTATGCAGCAAGGAAGGTATAGTCCTTTGGAAAAGGTAAGAGTTGACAGTACTTGGTGACTAGCTAATCTGTTTATATTCCTTTGCTTTTGTGTGCACTTGCATCAGCTACTGGTAGCCACTGAAACACAGCTTAAGAGTTCCTCGCTTGGGGTTTTTTCTGGCTTTTAGTATAGCAGCTATCCCTTTTAATCATCTCAGGAAGGATGTCAATGCTAAACAAATAATCAACAGTAAGAAAAAGAGGTGAGAGGAACAGGACTATCAAAATGGGAATCTGAAGAACCTTTTCTGTAGTAGTGTGTGCTGTCATGATGATAGCCTGTGTGCCTGCCTTTCAATTTTGTCCAGCACTTGCCTATAGATATACAGTTAATGTGATGGGGAACCATGAAGCAATGGAGAATCAAGGACTGGCTGCTTACCAAAACATCCTAAGAGACTGGAGACTGATGGTAGCTGGGGGCTTGCATCTTCTGAGCCACATCCTGAAACTTCATCTGGGGCAATGCCTTCCATTTGTTCTAAATATTTAAGTCCAGGGAAATGTGAAAGGGGAGGAAACAATTTGCTTTTACTGTGAGGGAGAACAGCAAGAAGCAACTTACTCAGCTGGTTTCTTGACTTATCAGTACAGAGAACTGGTTTCAATCAAACAGGTGCTTTTAAAAAGTAGGAAGGGGAATTTAGCTTAGTAGTTACCTTCTAAAAAGTAGTAGAAATGCAGTTATCTAACTTGGGTATAGACTGAAAAAAAAGTTTTCAAGTTCATGATTAATATCGTATTTTTCTCTTTCTAGAGAACTTGGTAAAATTTCAACATTAAAGACTCTTCAGGTATTTGGAATAGTGACGGGTAGCTCCCTACAGCTCCTCAAGGAAGCTCTTCCTGAAGTGAAGATCAATTATTTTTATTTTACAAGTATTGCAAGGCCAAGTACTGGCACTAGAACGAACCATGAGATTTGGGGCATCAAATGCAGACTGAAATCCTTGTAGATCATGATCATGGACAATGCACTGGTTGCGATGGACATGCTGTGTATTGAAGCTCCTTAAGAGGCAGAGTGCTGGAGCATCTTTAATCATAGTACTATTATTATAAAAACATTCTAACTCTGATTTACACCTTAATGTAGTTTCATAAATATTTTTACAGGGTTTTTTTTGTACTTAAAGCCTTTAGAAATCTGATCTGTGAGAAAATGTAGATTTAAGTGTTTGTTTATCACAAAAGAGCTTTTTTTGGAAAAAGTATTATGAAACAATCATTGTGATTTAAAAACATCAGTCTCTAGCAGCTGTTGCAGGTTCTGATGCAGCTTTTGTTTCTCTAAGTTGTTCTAAAGGTGCTTTTGGTTAATTCTTCTAGCTCTACAACTCTGAAACAGGTTGTAGACGGGCTAGATACCTTAGTGAGGCTTATTAAGGAATTGTCTTGGTCCAAGTCTACAGAACTCAAAATGAATAATGGTATTAAACCTATTCAAACTCTTTATTGAACAAGATGCACAGTAAGATGAGAAACTACCCACTGTTTGAATTCACCAAACCTAAACAGTAAATAGGGGAAGGGATGTCTACACAAAAGCAGCTAAGAAACAGCCCAGTCCTGTACAAGTTAAGCAGCAGTATAAAGGAGCTACAGTGAAGATTTTCTTTAGCAGACCACAAAGGTAACATCTGTTTTTAGTATTCTTCATTGTTAGCAAAATACAGTCCAAAAAGCCCACTCTGAATAAGCATCTGTAAAAGTAGATGCTGGTTGTCAATTGTTACATGTTGTGGTGCTAGGTTTTCTGAGTGTCTATTACGCAATCTCAAGTAGCTTCTATGAGCTTGATCTCTGATAAAACGTGTGTTCTTGTACTTCCACTAAAGAATATGATCTTTCAGCTGGAACTGATTAATTGGCAGAAATCTTGCAGAAGGAGGGCTCAGATGGTTCTAGATCTCAGACCAAAACCAAAATGTTGAACTGCAGCACAGGAGTCCTGAAAGGAAGATGCGCTTTGGTGATATTAAGAGACATAAGTTTCCCTTATTATAATAGCTTATGTTTGTAGTATCATTTCACTTGTATCTGTAATACTAACAACTACTGCCCAGTGTTTGTTTTTTTTAAGTCCTAAGAAAAGCTAAATAAGGGTCTAAATCAAGGCCAAAAAAAACCCAACCCAACCCTGAAAAAAACAAAGGATAGAGGCAAGTAATAACTTGAAATAAAATTATCATCAGGGTCCTTGTTCATAAGCCTGGAATGTTCCAGCAGGTATTAGTTGAGAAATCCTAGGGCACAGTGTGCAGCCTGTGTAGAGTGAATGTGCTGATACTCTTCCCATGAATGCAGTAAGCAAGCAGGTGGTGAGTTTATTCATAGATGTTTAAGGTCAGCCTACAGCATTACTGTGGGGCTGTTGCAAAGGTTATAGTGTTTGCCATTTCAGTCTGAAGAAAAGAGTTCAGGAATAAATACCTGGTAGTACAGAAAAGATTGATTACTGTGGAAAAGATTGTATGGGTACTAGAATTGGATTTAACTTGTTTTTTATAGTATAACAATATGATAATCTAAATGTTTTGGGTTTATTAAATTCAACAGTGTAAGTAACCCAAGAAAGTGAATCTTTGCAGAACTGCACTATTGTAAATTCTTCTCCCTATGCACAATGTAACCCTAAATTTATTTTGCATTCAATAAAGATTAAGGAATTGTTATATTGTACAAAATGACTGATGGATAAGAGAACATTTACCCTGATTTGCCACCAACTGTGTCATGGGTTTAAAAAAAGAAATTTGTCCAAGCAATGTCTAAACAATGGAGGTACAGAGGACTGGGTGTTATCACCAATACATCTAGCATTTAATGGACTGCTTTAAAACCCTGTACAGAATTGGGACAGTAGTATGGCTTTAGCTAGGAGTAGTCTTGAACTTGTCTTTAAGTGCCAGGTTTGATATTGGAAGATGACAAACATTTCCATTGCAGGTTTATTGGTTAAGATGGCAGCTGTAGCAGATGCCTAATGGAAGTCCTCTGGGAAAGGACTTCCTCACTGAAGAAAGTTACTTGGTAGCTCCAAGCATAGATAAGTTTCTATATTTTACCTAAAGCATGAAGACTTAAAAATAATTATTTAAAACAAATTGTACAGTAAGGGAAAAGAAGTTGAGCACATGAAACACTCTTGGAAGTTGAAATAAAGCACAGGACAGCTTCATGTGTCTTAAGTTTAAGTTTTATTACACAATGTATAAACACCACTTTCTTAAAAAAAGCCAAGAATGACAGGGCTAGTTTAGCAGAACAGTATGGACTGGCACTAAATGAAAAGACTGTGGATTTGATTCAGTATATTAAAGAGGCCAGTACAGGCAGATTAAACCAATACTCGGTCCTGTCATGGAATACTGTCTACCAGGTAAGTTGTCTGTACTGCAATCCCCTGTAATTTGTAGAATCCTTAAAGGATTACTGCTTACTGCTTATCTATTATAGATCTCTGAATCATCCTAGTTATTTAAATCAAGCATTCACCAGTAAATGCTTCAACAGAAGTGCAATTAAATACAGACAAAACCAGTAGAGGCCACTCATGAGTAGGTCAGGTTTCCATTTTTGCTAAGTAAATTAGGAATTTGACTGTGAAATCTCTTACTAAGCCCTAAACCAGATAATACATTGGGCCTGTAAGGCCTGAAAACAATGCCTTTTAGTCTCAGCATTTGTAGTAAGGAATGACAGGCATCATGAAGAGGTATGCACCCTGATCAGACTAACCAGTTTCCATGAAAACATTACAGCACACAAATGTCTCTAAACAAGTAGGGAGTAGAGTTTCTGCTGTCAATGTGTCTATTCAGGTATTGAAGGACACTTTCAATAACTAAACCTCTGATGTAACACAGTAATAAAGTCCTAGGAAGTAATAAATTAATGTTAACTGGCATTGGTGGGTTGTTTGAGTTTTGTTTTTTAAAGAAAGATTAGTCCTTTGCATCTTTACCCTTAAACCAGTTTTGCAGATTTTAGACATTAAGAGCTTTATTCTGATAATTCCTGAACTTACCAAATTTTGAAAGAGTATATGGCTACTTGCCCTTCTGGTCTGCAATCCTGCTAACTCAAGCAGATAGTGTAAATAACTCTTTACACAAGTGAAATAAGTGAAATGTACACAAAGTGACAGCTTATTCAACAAGCTCCAGTATCACATTTTCTTAGAATACAATCATCTGGTCAAATCCATTTCCTCTAAATTCTGGTTTAGAGTGAATACAAGGACTTAAGTAGTCACAGGAAAAATATCCTTTATCCACTTCTTCCACCTATGAAGATCAGTTTACATTGTGTGATTGGCGACAAATACACTGATTAGCCGCATTGAAGAACATTTCCATTAGACCTGAGAACATCTGTTACAGAAGTCTCAAAAGTCTTCAGAAGTAGTTTGCAGAACACTCACTTTTGGAAATAGATCTGTAGTAGACAGGACAAAACACATTTGTTTCAAGTCATGTAGCAGAATAATTCCCGCTGTATGAATCTTCATTTTGCCAAATTCTGCCCTCTTATCTATGCAGCTGTCAGCACAGACTTTCAAAGGCAGTCATAGTTCAGAGTTTCTCTAAAACATTATGTAAAAAGTCACTTCCTGTTCTATAATCAGAGCTTTTTTTCTGTTACCAACATGCCTACCAAACACATGATCAGAGCCATGTAAAATCAAAGTTACTTTGTTGCCAATTAAGTAACAAAGTACTCAGCAAAGGATTAGAAATTTAAACTTTCTAGGCAAGTTAAAAGCTCATATCTGGAAAACTGGGAGATACATAGGTATTAACTTGTGCTCCAACCACTAGGAACCAGCACACTCTTCAGTTCTAAAGAAACTCAACCTAAAATTCCAAACCATTCAACTTAATTAAAAAAAAAGATCTTTCTTAATGATAGCCATCTGCACAAACTACTGAGACTGAACACCTGCCAGCCAGCTAATCCATTCCATGAAAGAGTATATTTTACTTCGGCATGGTTTCTACAGTTTCTATATTTCTATTAAAAGGCTCAAAAAAGTCCTTGGGCTTCAAGTCTCTCTCTAGCCAAAGAAAAAAGTTAAGAGCCACCTTATTCAGGATGTGATTAAACCAAACTTTGTATATCAACAAAGTAGAAAAAATACTGGAAGAGAAAAAAAATTGTCACAAGTTGTATGAAACTAGAAAATTGTAAAATTTTTTCAAAGTATACAAAAGATTTGTTTTTCCATTTCCATTACGTCAACATCAGGATTTACCAAAATCTATATCCTTGCATCAAATCGCTAGATTGACAGTCAACTTTTCTACAAAAGTGTATGTATGAAGGTGTTTAGTTTCATCAGTCCCAGACTGTTACTAAAAAACTGTACATCTGAATATTTAATACTACTAACTTAATACTTGAACCCATCTACCTGTGCTTAAAAATACATTCTTTCATGTTTGCCTTACAGGTTAAAATGTCCATTTTCACTGAAGTTAGAGGTAAGACTTCAGATATATTTCTTTTACACCAGATGCAAAAAGACCTTAAATATCAGGCTAAGATATCCCCAAACCAAAGGAATGAAAGGCATTTCAAGCTTCCTCCAAATGTTCTTGCACCCAAAAAGGCCAACTTCCAACTTAATGCAGCATTTTGATGTGCTGTCTATCCCCAGGAGTTCCCTCTCTGGATCCAGAATCGTTTCAGCAGAAGACACAAGGGTCCTTCATTCTTCCAGCAGAACAGTGCACAGCGCATCCTCTGTATTGATCATTATTGAAGCTATTGCCCCATCATTGAACTCAAAAGATGTTCCTCCATCTACAACCATGCATGCGTCCCAGCAACGGGAACGGACACAGACTCTGCAAAAACCCGAAAAATAATTTTTCACAAAACAGCTTAAAAAAAATTAAGTATTTCATGCAGGCAGTTATCTGAACAGTAAGACTGGTTCTTGGCAGTTCCTTTGCATGGGTCAGTAAATGCTTGCTTACACAGAGTTTAGCATGGTACTAAGTACTACAACCTCCCAACTGTTATAACACTAGTTTTATAGATGTAGCAATGAGTTCAGGGAGAACTGAGGGACTTGATCAAATGGAGACTATTGCTCCAAAGTCTGAGAACAGTCTGTAACAACACTTCATATTGAAAGCTGCAGTTCAGGTGTGTTTTTCAAAGAAAGCTACTGATGATCCCATTTAATAGTGATTTGCTTAATCTTTCACAGAAAGTCTTTAAATTAATTTGTGATTCTAATGTATGCTCTTCATGTTAAGTGGAACCATGCAGTTTCAACCAGCAGTGCTTGAGAGTCAAAAAATTTGGAAATTATTATAGCCTATATTGTTACATGAATCACGCACAGAGAGAAGGAAAAGTAATTTCAAACACAAAGTTCAAGGTCAGAATGCCAGGCAACATCATAAATAGGTACTGAAGCATATTAGTGTTTGACAACTATATCTTTAAGCTAATACACTTAAACTTAGAAAATTTAAGGCAGCTCTTACAAAGCTCAACAAGACAGAATAAAGCTACTAACCATATTCTTCACTTACCTCTAAAAGGAAAACTAACTCAGACATTGCAATTTATCCTTTCACATTATGTAGAAAGTGAAAACACTATTAAATAGAGTTCTCCCAACATTTTTCATATTGCTAGATGGGAACTAACAGTTATGCCAGAGTAGCTGCAAGACTGCAGTCTCACATGGATGTCCTTGATCATTTCTGATGTAGGCTCTGGTCTAGACAATGTTCTGATGCCCAGAATTTAATCAAGAATTATCCAGTGACTTGCATCTTCATGAAGACACATCTTTCATACATATGAAAAGCCTGGAAGCACAGCCTGTGTCAAAGCTTAATTGGCCTGTGCATCACTGAAACACAGCCACGTCTGGACACTGCAGAAGAACGTGGAGGCATGCTCCACTCCTGCATGTCACTCTGGGCAGCTACTATGTCAAAAAAGATACAGAACAGCAACAGGGAGATGTCTAGTATCAAGAGCTAAAAATCACCTGTGACAGGCACCAAATTCTACTTAAGGAAAACTAGGCAGATATATTTCATAGGTATGCAGACATTTGTAGCTCCAGTATCACTTTTATAGTATATCCCACACTGAGGACTCCAAATAAGACAAGGCTTAGTCCTGTATAACCCATGGATGAAATTGCAGTTATTTGATCGTATTTTAACCTCTCCTTTTAATCTCTCTAAGATTTACTCACCTTTGAGAACTCTAGGTTCTCTAACATATAGGTTAGAAAAGACCTTTAAGATCATCAAATCCAACCATTAACCTAACACTGCCAAGTCTACCACTAAACCATGACCCTAAGTACCACATCTACTCATATTTTAAACACTTCCCAGGGATGGTGACTCCACCACTTCTCTGGACATCCTGTTCCAGTGCTTGAAAATCATTTTGGTGAAGAAATTTTTCCTGCTATCCAATCTAAATCTCCACTGGCACAAATGCCAAGTTAAATGACTGAATGACCAAATAATTTAGTTTGGAAGGGCATCTAGTCCACATTCCACTCAAAGGAGACCTTACTTTAAAGACAATTTAGGTTTCTTAGGGCCTTGCCCAGTGAAGTTTTCAGTATCTCCAAGGAAAGACAGAGCACAATCTCTGGGCAACCTGTTCTACTGCCTGGCCACCGTCACTGTGAAAAAAATTCTTTTTTTTTTTTTAGTCAGAATTTCGCATCCTATAAAATCATAGCTTTTGGCTCATTCTTCTCTGAAGAGTTTAACTCAGCAACTGGATCCATCCTGCTTACTCTTGTCTCCTCCAGGCTAAACAAAAGCACCCTTTGAGTCTCTCCCTTATACACCATGAGTTTTGGCCTCCTAATAATCTCAGTGGCCCTTTCCTGAATTCACACCAGTTTGTCAATGCCCATGTCTCATACTGAGGGAAGTGGCACACACCCAAAACTGGGCACAGTGAGATTATTTCATTCTGTACGATTGTGCATGGATCACCCATTAAAAAGACACAACACAACTTGGAAACATTTTCTTTCTGATGATACAAGAACAATACTCAAGCCCCTCAAAACACAAAGCAGACACTGAATCACTTCAAGGGAAACTCCTGTATTACTCATACTTTGACAAATACACAGAATGAAGTAACTCTTCACTGACTGATACAGCCAAAACTTACTTTGAAGAGAAGCCACACTGACGGCTACTTGAGAAAACTCTGTTTACAATAGGTTCTCGAATACTAAAAAACATCTTTGGTTCTTCTGGACTGTAGAGAAGGGACTCATTGTAGTCATTTGTTACTGTAAATAGAGAAATCAGCCATTAATTTTTCCGAAGCAAATGAGTTATTTTCAGAAACACATATTCCTCCAGGAAAGAGCAGCTTCCCTACAGAGAGGGAATATTGAGTCTTGCCACATGTTTAATAGCACTCACCTGCAAAAAAAAACAAAAAACAATTTTACAGAAGATTCCTTTCAGTTCTACTGCACAAAGAACACTCAACAGCTCTATTCAGGTGATTAAGTATCTGAAATCCTGGGAGAACTGAAATTCTTCTGAAGATCTATGCATACAGAAGTCTAAGTAAGCGCTTTCACTTCAAGTCAGACATTTTTCACCAAATGTGCCTAAATAATGTTTGTAAGAAAGACTAATATTGTAAGAATGCTAAAATACTGAAGCAGTGCTGATATTAGGAGTACAAACTAAATGAACTGGTCAAAGTTAAGATATATCTTGCCTTTTCACTGACCTTTTTGTATTAGTTCCGTGTTCAATGGCATATTCAAACTTCCATGCTTTTTAGCTGTTGAGCCAAGAGAAAGACCCCCAATTAGATAGGTGTATCTTTATATAAACTTGGCCAATAATGACACACTGTTCACTCACCGATCTTAAGAATTTCTTCAACAGCTTGATGTGTTATCTTGTTAATATTATAGGACCTAGACAGAGAAGCAGAAGTCTTGTTTGCTACGCAACACAACTTAGGAGAAAAACAAAACAAAGTCTTGCATACACATGAAGAACTATGTTCAACAACAGAAAGAAAAAATAAAGAATGCTATTAACTGTGAGCTGACATCAGTTTCTTAAAAAATATGTCTTAAAGTAACTCTTGGTTTGACATCTACTTGTGGCTTTGTAAACCTTAATAACTCACTAAGTGAAGTGTTCAGGAAGGATACAGACTTCACACAGGATACAGACTCCTTATCAGTAATCCTCCTGCCTTAAAACACCAATAATTGCTGATTTAATTTTGCATTAAAAAAGCAAGGCATGACAGTTCTACAGAAAGTGTGTTCCCTTCTATCCATCTCTTGCTAATGAACTCCTTCTGTTAGTTCTCATCTGAGACCCCACACTTCTTTACAAATATTGTATCTCTTTGTCTGTACCCTAAGGAGTGGGCTTGGATCTCCCAAGAATTAGTGTATAAAAAGGAACAGTTAGATCAGACATTTCTGCGTTTGCCACATTTGGATACACAAGTCAGAATGAAGCCTATGTCTAAACTCCAATAAAAGTCTCCCTATTATGCCTGCACTCAAAAGGGATTAGGTACTAACCACAGCTTCCATGCAGCAGCACTGTGAACATCTCAGTTGCCCAGGTCTCAATGTATCTTAAAATTGTCAGTCCAGCACTTCTGCCATGGCAGTAAAACACACCTCAGACTACAACAGACATCCACTATACATGTAATAGACTACAGAGCTGGCTGATAATGGTTGTCTAAGGCTCTTTCTCTTACACTTATTGCCTACCTGCAAGCCTGAGAGATGCTAGCAAGAAACTGAGATGCACAGTTTGAAACTGCTCTCTCTCTCAACTAGATATCCCTTTATGCAAATTTTGGCAGCTGAAGGAAGCACTCAGATATTTAAATGCCTCTCAGGCCAAGGAGGTCTGAGGTCCCCAGAGAGCCCTTAAATCACAGGCTAAGGAAGATCACTCCACTGAGGCTTGGGCTGTTAGAGAAGTCCAGCAGTATATGCTGATTACACCAATGGAGATGGCCAATTCTGGAGTTCGGTCCCTGGTTCTGGGATTTCTCTGTACAGAGTGCATAAGCAAATGAAATGCTAAGAACAGCTTTGAACTGAGACAGTACATTCCCGAAGTACTGAACATGAGGAAAGTTCCCCTAGCAGTCTGCCAATTTCATCCTTGGCAGCCTCCAGGACAATATGCTGACTGAATACAAAATTCTGAATTACAATAAAAAGAGTAAAACTCAGTAACCATGGTTACAGCATGAATATTCATTTTTGAATTTCATTAAAAGCTTCAGTTTTAGTTCCTCTTAGCCTGCCACATAAATCCAGGGCCTGTTGTACAACTTTAAACTATAAGCACAGACAGATTTCCAAATTAAAGAGGCTCTCACTGTACACAACTCTCACATCTCAAAACTAAATTGATTAGATTTACATGCAGTACTGCAGCTTGTTTAAACTGAAGTAAAGACAATTTACCTCTTTGATTAAGCTAGCACAGCTCCACTTAGATATGCTTATCTTTGTCTAAGGGGAGTATTTTGGCAAAGAGATTGTGCCCTTTTAATTTTCAAAAAACAAGAGGCTTGGAAGGAGAATGGACAGTAGATGTGCCAAAGAACATTTAACACGTGTCTAAGTACACGCTCTCCCATTCTTCTTGGACCTTAGATTTTTTAAGTTTTCTGAGCTACTTCATCTAAGCATTTTAATTTTATCCAACAGGAGTAGTTCAGAGACCACCCCAAAATGCTCTGCAAGTCAGAGCTGAATCTCTTTTCCTCTTTTTTTTTTTTGTCACCCCCAACCATTCATCTCCACATGCAGCATGCAACACCTTTCACCAAAATTACACCTAAGGTAGACTTCTGTGTCAGTGCCTCAGCTCCTCGACCTTTCAACTCCTCTCCATACCTACAGGTGAGGGGTGCTCTTCTCTTCTCATACATCTGAGACAGCTTTGAACCGCACCAACAGTGAGAGTATTTGGACGTAACTGACATACACTGACTTACCCATAGCCCAAGAGAGCCTCAGTACAAAATGCTTAAGCAAAATAGGTCCATCTAGCTTATCTGAAGCAGTATTTCATATCAGAGCAGCAACGTGTACTTACCATGCTTTTGATCCTGTTCCAGTACACACATTAAGCCCTGAACTCTTCTGTTTTTCCCATGGACCATCATCAACTGATATTTCATAATAGGAGGCCCTATGAAGCGAGAATTTAAAACTGGGTTTGCAGGACTTAAAGTTCTCCCTGAATAAGACAGAACACACAGCCTTATCAGGCACATAAAAATTTAGAGGGGCTAATTTCAAATCTGGTTTCACAGGCTTTGCACAGTGTTTCCAATTAGGCAGACACTTTTGATTCACTGTTTTAGAGCAGTATTTATAATGAACAAGAGTGATCTGCAGCATGAACTTTTAAACAATTTTTCTGCAGCACTCTTTGTATCAAATTATGCACAAAGAACTCTGGCTCATCTGGGAATAGCCTCATATACAAGCAGCATTTGCTGGACTTAAAGGTGAAACTACAAATACATTACCTTTCTTGCATAATTGTTGAACTACTGAAAAACTGTTTATGCTGTGATTCGGTCTCATAAATTTACATCAGGGAGCACTAAAAGATAAGGCACTCCAATGCTGGTAATAGCATGGCTTCACACTGAATTATCGACTACTTCAGTAATTAAAAATCCACTGATTCTTCACAAACAGTTTTAGTTTAACAACAGTCAGCAGGTTTATGTTTCTCTCCAGGGCAAATTCTTCCTGAAACTCAAATGTAGTATGTCTTGGGGCACAATCATCATTCTCCATGGTATTATTCAACCATCAGGGGATTCCTAATGTTAGGCCTAGAGAGACCAGACAGTCTCTCCTGCAAGTTTCAGAACATCCAGGGGTATATTTATGAACTGAAGTTGTTCATAGTTGTTGATAGTGCCCAATTCAAAAACTGGTATGGTCTTCAGATTAATAGATACCCTCTTAGAAAAACACCATATTCACTGTGTTCAGCATGACCAAGTTTCACCTTTGTTAGCAAAAGGAGCTTACTGAGCTGTTTCAGTCTGGATCAACGAGGAATACACCTCTTCAATATTTGGTGTCAAACAGTTCGGACTCTTAGTAACTAAGGGCATTTTGTGTACTCCTGCAAAGATGGGAAGATGAAAGATCTGGAAGTAAATTAAGAACATAGGTCCACAGCTTGACTCAGCTTAAGATAATCTTTGAAAGCTGGGTATGAAAGGTTTTGGTTTTTTTCCCCTTCAATTTCCTTGTTTTCTTAACTGACATGTAGAATAAGTCCTTGGAATAAGTACCTAGAGTCATTTTGACTTAATACACAGCAGAATCGTGTATTTGAACCTTACAGAAGATTTCTGTGTGACATCATTATTCAAGTCACAAATAAAAGGTCCTATTAACACAATACTTATTACTCAAGATTTGTTCCTACAGGCATTGTGTTGGTGCTTCTCAAACATACTGGAATCAAAGAGTACAATGTATCTGTGACACTCAGAAGTAGAGGGCTATTATAAATAGTTGGAAAAGCAGCTTTGTTCTCGTCTATCACTGTATGTTAAAAAACTTCAGAATCTTGATAAAATTAGGTTTGATTTAGTAGAGAGCAAAATTTGTATCTCTTTGAGACTAATTCCTTCTGCCAGTCTGAGGCCGCAGTCCAGATGGAAGATAAAGCACTCATGGAACATTTATACTGTTTCCACCAGTAACCAGAGTGTTCCAGGCACTGTACAAACACAAGAAGATGTTACACTCTAAATGTTGTGTTTTGTTTGTTTTTAAAAAAGATACAAAAAAAAAGGAAAAGAGATATAAAATACTAGTAAAATTTTCGCCAAATCCTGACCAAGGATCAAGTTTCAACTCCTTTCACACAGCCCCAGGCACATTCCCCACATACTACTTGTTACTGATTAGGTAGCAGAAATGCACTGATCTTCAGGACAGAAAGGGCAGTCAAAGGTATCCTGGATAATGCAGTACCAGGATTTGATAAAAAGTATTTTCTTAAACAAGGAATTGTTTTCTCACAATAACAAAGCTTCTGTCAAAGGCAAGCTGATACCTTTGCCTCTAATGACAGAAAGGCAGGGAAATGAGTACTTGGTCATGCTAAAAGCTTATGAAAAGATATTTAAGAAGAGATGCAGGAAAGGAGGCAGTTTAAGGACAGATATTTGAATCTTCAATCCACTGTAAAGATAGTAACTGAAGGCATTTGGTTACATAAGAACTAACCAGGAAAGGAGTAAAACAATGAAGAGGAAAAAAAACAGCCAGGAATAATGAAAGATGAAAGAATGGCCAGATAGTAAGGAGAAAAGGCAGAAATTGACGTCACTGCACTTACATCCCTGAAAATACACTTTGTAATCAGCAACAATACAATCAGTGTTATATATTCATGGACTAGAACTGAAAATTGGCACCAAAGACATTCCACCACTGATTGTCCACTGCAACATCATAAAAATAAATTAATTGTGCCTTGCTGCAACAACCAACAATTAAACATACCTCGATGAAAGAGATTCCCCAATGAAGACTTCATTGAGCACTCTCACTGGTAAAAGATGTGGACCAGAAATGTCAGATCCTGCAGATATTGAATATAAGAGTTTTGAATCGTGGTTCTGAAACCCAAGTTTTCATAAACAATTCACAACTCATTGAAGGACACACTCTGCTGCCTGGGTTTGTATGCCAGACCTAGTGCTCCATCTTTTCTTCAAGTACTCAATTTTTCACTGATTTGGTCTGTAGCCAGTCACTGTCCTTTACTGTAGACTACAAATATTTCAATCAAGGTCAGTACAGCAATGACATTTATGTTCAGATATTGCTTTCCCTGGAAACTCATACGCAACCATGAGATTAAAGTCTTCTGTCACTCTTCAAGCATTGCTAAATTCACTGACAGTGACTTAACAGATATTTCTGATAAAGTTCAAAGAATTAAGACTTTATACCACAGGGTAATTAACAAATTGTTCTTGTTGACTAAGACTCCTCAGTGAGGAAATGCAGTGCTAGATACAGGTTAAGGACAGAATTGTGCAACTTCAATTCGTCATAAAGAAAACAATCAAAGGTGTCTGATGACTGAAGAACTAACCAGGGAGACATTCTCACTTCTAATTTCTTACTTGCTTGCCAGTAGTCTGTGAAGGAACTTGCCTTGAATTTAGCACAAATTAAGAACACATGCGTGTGCACACACACACACACTTTTAGTGGAGCAGATAAACACATGGTAAAATGTTCATGTATTAACCCCAACTATCCACAGTAACCCTAAGAGAAAATTTTTAAAAAGCCAAGGTATTTTGCCAGCAGATAATACTACTTAAAAACGTCTCTAAATTAAATGTTAATACTGTCTATCCTTGCCTCTAAAATACGAGACTTCAAATACTTCAACTCTTATAAATCTTTATCTCCTATTCCAAGTTATCACAGCAAAGTGATTATATTCTTGCAGATTTAAACCTACTTTGATCTTGGAATCTTTCATTTATGTGAGCCCTGCTGTGTTGCTCTTGGCTTAGCTGCTGTTCATGTAAATCTACAGGGGTTGGGTTAATACCAGTTCCTTCAAGATACAGTCGGATTCTTTGCCGCCACTGCCACCTTAGAGAGGAAAAAGAAGTTGGTATCAATACCCAAAATGTTCATTAAAGAATTAGTCTCAGAGCCTTCACTTTCAAAGCTGATCATCTTAAAAGTTAAATATTTTCAAAGTCCTATTTCCAGTTTCGTAGCTTCCCCTATAATTTCTGAATTTAGAATGTTCATCATACTAAAATGTAAATACTTTACACTTACCAATTTGCTGCATATTTTTTTTGTATGTGTAAAATAACAGGATACTGGCCAAAAGTAGTGTACAAACATTATCGATAACAACTCAACATTTTAGGCATGTGATCCTAACTTACGAATTCATGATTGATGCAATGATTTTGAGAATAACAAGCTCTCAGGAATTTAAACAGTAATACAGGTTGTATTTTTAGAATCTTTTGTTTGCATTTGTAGATGTCCAGAAAAGCAGCTCTATCCACCCTATTATCCATAAGGGCCGCAAGAATCCTCTTGTTTTAATAATCAGTCCTAACCTAGGAACTTTAGGATGCTTAAGAGGAATTCAAATGAAGAAAGAGAGGGATATAAAAGGCATTCTTCCTTAAACTGTTTCAACATTCAGATTTTTAATTTTTCATACAGAAGGTATCAATTCCTTTTTCCTCTTACTATTTAGAGATCATATAAAACACAATAGTCATAGTGGTTTTGATTAAGAAAGCAAATCACAAGGCAGTGTTACGAGTACATCTTTTCCTAGTTCATGCTGTTGATATCCAGGTGACAGTAACCTGCTTACATGTTTCCTGAAATTAAAGCCAGGAAAACTTAACACTTTATACAACTACATTACTCATTGTCATCCTTGTAGAGCCTCATTCCATACATTCTTAGTATAATTACTTATCTGCCCTTAAATTCCAGGTATGATTTTAGGTAGTCAGACAGCATGCAGTGAGTATCATTATGCTAGCCTCCTCACAATACTTCAGCCAAAACATGATAAAGCCCCTACAAAATCAGAAAATGGGGCGGTTCCCCTATTGTACTCCTATTCTGAGATCCTGTTACATCACTGACCACCAAAAAAAGAAACATGGGCAGTCTGATATAGTTTGTCATTTATAAATCAATAATGTTGGTTGTTTCATGGGACTACAAAGTAAGTGCTTACACAGACTGCTGCACTAACACAGCTGGCACTTCAAGGACAAGGAGAAAACACAAACCCCTTTTCCAGTCTCTGGCACCTCACCATCCTTATGTCCTGATCCAGTCACACACCTATTTTAAAGTTTCCTTATGGCCAAATAAATCTGTGAACTGCCAAGTGAAACACCTGCTCAGGTGCTTCCTTAGGAATATCAGTTCCTATTGTTCTCAAAAAATAACCAGGGAGATACCTTCTGTTTAACTCTGGTGAGGCTTCAGCTCCACCACAGACAACAACAGGAGTGTCAGCAACAAAAATGTAACATGGAATCCAGCAAAACATTAGAAGTGCCTAGATTATCAAGTGAGGTTACCTCCATCAGAACTGCCAGCTTTACCTAAGCAACTTAGCACGATTGAGAGTTAAAACCTTCTGTTTTCTGAGTCTCACACTATGTGAGTTGAAACTACATTTTCATTTAGCAACACCTATTGAAACCCCTTCAGTTATTTATCATCAATCCTGATGACTGTATTCACCTAATTTCAGAACTTTTATATGGCACAAATACAGTTACGTTTCAAGCCACAAATTAAACATTCTAAAAGTATAAACAAAATCCAATTGCAATATATTTTCATGTGAATGATCTATTTCTGTTTAATATTTTATTATGGCAAACCATCAATACACCACAGAACAATATATATCTTTAATAATTATGAAAAAACTCCTCCCTAGTGTGTCCTTTAAAATTCAGCTTGCTTTGTTAATTCAAGTGAGATTCTTTTATTTTAAGAATCTCTAGTACTGAAAACATCAAGCTATCGTCAGCATGAAGAAAAGCTTTGCCTTACACTAATCTGTTAACAGAATTTAAGCCACAGTAATCATCAAAACCCCAGATGCAACACACTGACCATTTCCTAACCATATAGGCTTCGTTAAGGTATATTAGTATGACCCATCACTGTACTATACCTATACTTTTGAGTGTTAAAATATGTAAACCAATACATCCCTTACAAGAATACAGTTCCTCATTTATGAATTTGTTAAGTCAGGGGAAAAAAAATCAATTACTGAAGGTCATAACAAAAGTCTTCTTGCTAGAACTGGCAGTCAGTTTTATCCTTTGTACTCCAATCTCACTCTTGACCACAAACCTATTTTTCAACACGACAAACATCTACACAGAATTCAATTTGAGGCATTAAGATTTTACTAAGCATCATCTGCTCCTTAGGAATTGCACATAATTAAGTATTTTCCGGTCATATTATGCTTTGGAAAACCAAAGATCAGTGAATCGTACCTGAACTCACCACGATAAAGCTTCTGTAGTGCTTCAGGAAACACATGCGTGTATCTTACAGGCAAGCATAAATGACCCTCTGATCTGGTAGCAAAAAAAGGACAATGTGACAAAAAGTGACAGTATAACGATTAAAACCTGGTACCTTTAAAAAACAAAACAAAACAAACATCTCTTCCTGTCACATAAAGCAAAGCTACACTTTGACCTTTATGAATCTATACTATTCTTACATAATAGCACATCAGCAACTATACACCTCTTCCAGCTCCTGGGGTGTACGTGTGTGAGAAATAGGGTATTTCTCCCATAATTCCCCTAAAAACTGGCTGTTCAGTTAGCAATCTTTCATGAATATGTAGGTACTAATACAGTTCCTGTCACCATAGTTCTAGGCAAGGAATTCAAGCTTAATAAATCTTGCAAGTCAGAAAGAAAATTACCTCCGTTAACATACTAGTGATACAAGACAGGTAAGCAACATGCCTAAGATCAAAAGAATCTCATGTCAAAGCCAGAAGACTAAACACTGCTCCCCATTCATGAGTGATATCTGATAACTTGAAGGCATTTGTTATTTGAACCCTGCTATTCAGGCTTGATACAGCAGAATATCTATTCAAAGCATTTGAAAAGTTTTGGAAGAGGAGTAAGGTATGGAAGGAATTAAAACTTTTGGTTACCACTTTCGTATCTACTATGATTAAATTAAATGGTAATATCAAAAGCAGAAACCTAAAACTGGAAATGTCAGCAGACAGAGCCTTGGTGAATTCTGAGTTTTACTAGCCATTCATTTGAAGGTTATACCAACCAAGCAGTACTAATACCCTGCATCCACCTGCCCAAATCAATCTTATAGCTAGGTGTATTCAACTTGTGGAGTTTATAATAGGACAACGAAATCTCATAATTGGCTGAGGAGACTGCGTCCTCTGAGGTATGACATGGGTTTAATGAACAAACCAGAACAAACTTCTTCGTCTGAGACCCTAACAGATTTCTAATGTGATTTGCCTTCTCCATAAAGAAACCAAGTTTCTGTGTGTTCAGGCACTACCTGTTAGTTGCTTTTGTGAAGTCCCTTCTCCTGTCTCTGTCCTACACTGTCATCTCTAGCCTCAAACTTCTGGTAAGTAACACAAGCAAACTAACTAGATCCAAGCACTGTTACCCTGGTGTGTGAAAACAGCTGTGGCAGTTTAAAACAGTCATGCTTATCCAATACCACTGAAAGTCCTCTCAGGTAAGATAGGGTAACTTACTGTGAAAACTTTTCTAATAAAACAACAGGTTCACTTGATATCTACAATCCACTAAAACAGGTATTTATGCTGCCAAATGCTACAGGCATGCCTCATGCACCATGAAAACAGATGCATATTGTGCCTGATGTTAAATACAGCATTGCTTTCCCAAATGTGCTTTTACCTTTCAGGGTCAGTATTTACTCCAATAACTGGTTTAAATTTATCAAAGACCTTACTGGCTGCCAACAACATTGTACCATCACCTACAGAAAAAGAAAAAAAGTTAATTTCACTTCACATTCTAGAATTCCAAATAAAATAGTCTCACATGTACTACAGTGTTACCACTATGTGCTTTTATAACAACTGCTAAGGTAAGCTACACAAAAATAAAATGAGACTATAAAACTACCAACACCTTTACAAGCAAAATAATGACAACTGAATTCAAGATGGCAAATGTGACCAGAAAAAATACAACTTAATCTGACAGCTATACATACTCAGGCAACTGAATTTGGCAGAAGCAAGTCTGAAAAGAGATTTACGGAAATTGCATGTTTATCAGCTGGTAAGAGAAATTCTTTAAGAAAATAACTGTAGAAAGTATTGCTAATCAAAGCCACAGGAGACAGGAAAATGATACCAGATTTTACTGTGAATCATATGAAAACAATGACTTTGTTTCCATCTCAGCTGTTCTCCCAGAAAGCACAATGTAAAGGTTTTATTTGGCCCCAAATAAGCATGCTTGGAAAAGAAGTCTCAGATAAAAACAGTTGAATTAGAAATCTTTACGTGTCACTGGTTTCTTCAAATGTTGATACTCTTTCCTGTCTATTAAGAAGGACAACTATAACCTGAATCAGTCTTTGCACCAAGATGCAAGCTCTGAAAACCTCTGATGATGTATCACTTCCCAGCTGCTTCCCTCATAATCATGACAGATGTTGCCACAGCCAAACTGCCTTTAATCTCCAGCTTAGAGGAGTTCATTGAAATGAACGTATTTGGATGCTTCAGGAATGTACACATATCCCTTCCTACCCATTTTGTGTAGTAACCAGCAGCTAAAGGCAAAGCAGAGCAGTGGGGAGGAGAGAAAGGCAGAGCAGTGGTCAAGTCTAGCTGCCATGGATGATTGAACATTACCAATGTCAGAGTCCAGCAACACACTACAGTACGTGCAGCAGATAAGACTGAATTATCTGCTGCGATCCAATGCTAAAAAGAAACAATCAGGTCAGTTGCTCTGTTGGTTCATTCAAAAAGCTCTATGCAGTGGCACAGACTGCTCAGAAGTTGCATACTTTTACCTGTACCATGCTGCAGTCACTGGAATTAAATGTGAAAGCAAGAAAAAGTTTGGGCAAGGAGAGGCAAAGGTAGTAATGTTAGTCATCCCCTCACATACCAAAGAGCAGGGTTTAGGGCTACGTATAATCACATGAGAGCAAGCATTTTATCCTTTTTAGTTGAAAACTATAGTAAGTTCCACAGTTTACACCACTTTACACAAGGCAATACTAAATATTTCCAAAGTTGCCACACACTGGGATTCATTTCCTAGTGCTACAATTTTAGATACTAAAAGTAGAGAGGACGGTCACAACCACTGCATTTTGTCATATTTTCTGACAATTGGAGAAGCAATTTGTCTTCAAAATTTCCATACCTCCACATGCTTCACATACTGAAAAATACTCTTGAAAAACGTATCTGTGAAAACATACCGAAACAAATACTACCCTTCCATAAAGTCATAC